GTAAAAACACAGAGAACTAGCCGATGAAATTTATATCAAATCCACTTTATGACAACCATTAGAGATCATGAGGTGTCAATCATATGAAGAAACAATAGTGAGAACGCAAAAAAGTTGAAATTTGAAAACCCCAAATTCTAATATCTATTTGAACCTAAAAATAATTTTTTCAACTACACAGATCAATTATTGAAAAGTTTTCAAACCCAAAACAACAAAGTCGTTCATAACCCAGTAATAATTTACCAGACAAAATCAAAGAAGAAAATCGTCAGATTCGAAATTTAAGGAGCAAATGAGAGCGAGCAAGACACAGATGATGGCGAGCAGGATGAGGGTGAAGGAGTAGGACGTCTCTTTTGCAGGATGCTCTTAGTAGTATTGTGAAATTTGGAGGTCCTCGCTAAGAACTCTTAGCGAAGGAGTTTGTTTGAGCAAGTTCGGTTTTGTCCCATTAAACGTAGTCCCTCTGCCTACCAAACATGGGACTCGACTAAAGCTTAGTCCAATCCCACTTAGTAAGGGCAAACAAATGAGTGATTATGGAATACAAATTCCCCTACCTTAACATCAATTACTTAAAAAATAAATAAGTTTTTACATTGAATTAGCGTAGCAATTGACTCTTTTTATTTATTGTTTATTTTTTATTAAAATATATTTTAAAAATAATGGACGTACGAACCACTCACATTCCCACTACGTATTTTTTAGTGTGACTTTTTTTTCTATTTTTGTTGGAAATCCTTAATGGGAGAGGGATAATTTGGGTATTAAAAAAAAGATTTCTGCCACTTAGTAGTACAATTTAATGATATTTCTGTTCACTTATAAATGAAATATTTTAAATTCTAATCTTACAAAAAAAAAAAACATATTTAAACTACATTATTACTAAGCTTATTGTAACCGTAAAGATTGTTACAAAGAACTAGAGGTCAGCTCCGCTCCAGCCTTGGATGACCAGGAAGTCTAACAAGACTTGAACGCTCCGACCATCTTCTCTTCTCTTCTCTTCTGTGAGAGAGAAAAACATCCAGAACCCAAAACTAGCTCTGCTATCGCCTCACGCCTCCCAATTCCTTAGATCCTTCCCATTTCTCTCTCAAAACGATGCCGTCTCGGAGAAGAACGCTCTTAAAGGTCATCATCCTCGGCGACAGCGGGTCTGTGTCCCTCCGTCTCCTTCTCTTTTCGCTTGAATTATTTGTCCGTTTTAGGGTTTTATGTTTTGAAATTGGGCGGATCTTTCTGGATCTTACTTTACAGACTGTGATCTGAACCCTAATTTTGGTCTCTTATTACAAGTTAGGAATTCAGTATTTTTTTTTTTTTCTAAAAAGGAAAATTGGATGATGGGTAATAATGAAATTGTTATATACTTGTTCGGATAAAGATTACTTTCTGTTTTTGTGGTAAAATAAAAGGGTTTGTTTGATTTGTGATTGCAGGGTGGGGAAGACTTCTTTGATGAATCAGTATCCTTTGGAAGCTTGGATGTTGAATTTGAGTACTTGGGTCATTTAATTTTGTATGTAATCCTTTGGTTGTTAAGTTGAAGTAATTATGATTTAGTGGATTTTGGGTTTGACCTTTAACAAGATTCGCATAGATATGTAAACAAGAAGTTTAGCAATCAGTACAAGGCGACAATTGGAGCTGATTTTTTGACAAAAGAAGTGCAGTTTGAAGACAGGCTCTTCACCTTACAGGTTTTTCTAGTTCTAATGCCTTTTTATTGGATTGGTACTGATTGGACAAATAGTGGCCTTTATAGATTCTCAGCTGATGCCTTTTTGGAAGTCAATTGAAAATATAACTTGTTAATTTTTGCGTGTGCGGGGGCTAGCATTATTGCCCCTATATTTGTTACTACTTTCTCTACTATCACTCTAGAGAAGGATTCACAAAAACTTCTTTGTTTCTGTCGATAAAGACTAGAAATCGCATTAATGATTAATCTGCATTCACTATTGAGGAAGCTGAACTTTCACCCCTTTTTTTTAATATAGCAACCTAAACTTTCACTATGCCTTCATTCTCTCCCCTCTAACCGTTACGGTTGTTAAGATTTTCACACATTTTAAACTGTGTAGCCTTCCTGATAATTGTTGACTGCCATACGTTGTTCAATTATTCCTTTTCCTTCAAGTTTTTATGTGTTTAGGCGTCTGGTTTGGTTTTTATCTATCAACCAAATTAAGTTTCTGTATAGACAGGCTAATTGTAAATTGGTACCTCGCTCCCTCTTCCCCTCCCTCCCTCCCTTCCGCTTGCTCTCTTCCTCTAGTTATTGATTTTAGCAATATGAAAGGGTTTGAAGCTGTTCATTTATGGAAATCAAAGTATCAGAGATGAATGGACTGTTAATTGCTTGTTATCTTAATTAATCATTGTGAAACAAGTTGTCTTGTATGGCTATTGGGTGAAGATTGTAATCTAGGTAAATATGTTTGTTTTTAGCATAACCAAGTGTTGTGATTTGGCTCGTCAAAATTCTGAGGCCAATTAGGTAGGTTGAAAATTGGTGTTGCAAAAGAGAAGAGGAATGTGCACAGGTTATTTCCCATAAGAATTGGGAAATCGGTTTTTCTTTGTGATCCCAATCAGTTTAGGATTAGGAAATAAGTTAGTATTCCCTATTCTGAAAGGATTTAGGAATTCTACACTTGTTAGGCATGTAACCATACATCTATGAATCTATGTACTATAAATAGGCTTGTTGGGGGCTGTTTATTCACATGATAAGCAGAGAGAATACAAGGGTAGAGAGCCAAGAGTGATAGAGAGATCCAAAGCTAGGTTTTGGAGTTTAGCCTAAGGGTTTTCAATAAGTTCTTGTAACCAGGTTGTTATTCTTAATAATACAGGTGATTTCTCGAGAGAGATCAAACAAGGAGTAGGCAAAGTTTGCTGTACCTTGCTAAATTCTTTGTGTTTGTGTGTGGCATGTTTACTATAGTGTTCGTATATTCGTATAGCATCATCTTATAAGTTTTCATAACACCGGAGACTATCGGTAAACAAGGTCAACTAAGGGGAATTAAAATCAACACCAAGTAGAGTTCATGAAAAACAATCTAATCATGATTTTAACCCGGGAGTGCTTGTTAAGGCCTAAGGCTTAAACCTCATACATTTTTCAGCCGCTAATTGTGTCCTAACAGTCAGATCTTATTCGATTGTTTTGTCAGATCTGGGATACAGCTGGCCAAGAACGATTCCAAAGCCTTGGTGTAGCTTTTTACCGTGGTGCTGATTGCTGTGTTCTTGTGTATGATGTGAATTCAATGAAGTCATTTGATAACCTTAACAACTGGAGGGAAGAATTTCTCATTCAGGTGTCTTTGGTTTTTTCCCTCTCTTTCTTCCTCAAGAATTGCATTTCTTTCAAACTCTCTGTTAATGTCATTTTCTTTTTTGATTAACTTCCATTTCCATTTATTAATAAAAAGGAGCAGTTGAACTTAGTATGACAAAATCCTCTACAGGCAAGTCCTTCAGATCCAGAAAACTTCCCATTTGTCGTTATTGGAAACAAGATTGATGTAGATGGTGGAAATAGTCGAGTGGTATGCATCTCTATTTGGAAATGAAAAATCATCTTCTCTTTTTCTTACATGCACACACGTAGCTGTCACCCTTTCATGAACACATGATTTGCTATCCCACGTGCTTCAAGTCTACATGTCATTTTTTTGTTTATTCTCCAGGTTTCAGAGAAAAAGGCTCGAGCTTGGTGTGCATCAAAGGGAAATATTCCATACTATGAAACCTCTGCAAAGGAAGGCATTAATGTGGAAGAAGCTTTCCAGTGCATAGCAAAGGATGCTCTGAAGAGTGGGGAAGAGGAAGAAATGTAAGTTGAACCTGGAACCCTACACTAATGCACCTGCACATGCTCCCTTGTATTTTGATAATTCATTTCATTTGCTTGCATCACAAGTTGAATCATCTTATACAAGGCAATTATTTTCATTCGGAATTAAACTTTGAGGCAACATTACAGATCACCTGTTCGATTTAGTAGTTTTTGTTAGAACTTTGTTCAACATTCTCAAAATATAACAGCTGTGCCACTGACATATAACACGTCTCAAATAATCAAAATTGGTGTTGCATGATGTCCTTTAGTTTCATCTTATGGTTGTGCGTGTGCTTTATTCTAGGAAACTTATGGTTAGTGTATATCATACATTTTACTTCATTTGCTAAATATTGGTATTAGCAAGTGTGACGATAGCTATACTGATTTTTACTTTTATTTTTTTTATAAGAGTATTACATAAATTCGACCATTTGAGAGAGAATTTTTCCATTGTTCATCTGTTGATATTGTTCTATTTTGTATTTTTGCTTCATGTAGATACTTGCCGGATACCATTGATGTTGGAAGCAGCAATCAGCCAAGGTCAACCGGATGCGAATGCTAAATATTGTACCCGAATTCTTTGCCAGTAAAAAATAAGTCATCTTTGGAAGTATATTTATCAGTATGTATGCGGTGACACTGTACATTAGTCTGTGCGGGAAACAAATTGCTCCCAATCAATGCTTTTTCAGCTAGGTTGCATGGCGCCTTTCATTCCAAGTTGTGTTTGATCCGACCAGGTTACATTTGATTTCATCCCATTGATATCCAGTTATTGTTAGTACGGATACGGTATTACTCGTGTTTTCAGGAAAATAATGCAGTGTTCATTAGTTGTAATTTTTTTTACGGATCGATACCACGTCTCTGGTTCGACAAGTCATTTCGAGTATTGAACACGGAGAGACTGCCCCAAAGCTAAGTAACTATGGTATCCCCTACTACTAGTTACTTACGGGCAAACTAGTAGCGGAACTAGGGTGCATATACATGTTTGGATTTGATCCAACGGCTGAAACTAAATGGCCGAGGATCCCGTTGGATCAAATCCAAACATGTATTGTGTTGCAATTGAAAGCCCGTAGTTGTCGAGAAGAAATGCAATTTCCAATTGCTCCAAAAAGTAACATGAGCAGCAAAATTTCAAGCAGAAATTAACTTGAATGTAAGCTTACATAGGGTAGATAACAAACTCTGTAAATGCATATTTTGGTCCCCGTATTACAATAAACAAGTCAAACGCTGTCTAGCCATAAGATATTAACCAAGCTTTGCATTGCAACGCATTCACCAAATTGTTAGAAACTCGATTACACAAGGCTCACAGGTGGAATTTCAAATTTGGCAGTTTACCTGAAGAAAATTTTAGGGCTGTCAGTGGACTCCTTTCTTTTTTCTTTGCTTAGCTTGTCACCTCGTAAGGTTTACATGGTTGGAGTTGAAATATCCAAAACAGAATAAAGTGGATTGCTGAAAATTACCCTGAAAGGCCCTCGTCTGTTTTGTAAATGGGATTATCGGCAGCATGGGGAGAGGCTGTTTCAGTGTAGCAGAAGAGCAACCACCAATCCGCCCATCTCTAGCTCGCTCTTGGTACAAAAGATAATTGATGACGGCTGCAGAAGAATAATTAGTATCTATTCACAAGTTCTCAGGTGTTTACTTGGACCCAACTGGTGAAAGTTTGTCCTTTCTGGGAGGCCATATTGAACTTCCTGCCAATGTTGTGGCTGAAAATTGGTTCGACGGAGTCGGGGCCGCTGCCCCCATCGGTCTTGACATAGGTGGCCTTTGGGAAGTCATGCCTAGCGTGGGCCTTGGAACTGAGTTTGCAATATTCATGGCCATTCTATTGGCAGGAATTGCTGGCATGCCTCTAGATGAACCTGGTACGCCAAGACGAGCTGCAATTATCTGTGCCCGCTCATGGTAGAGCTTCTGTCTTGACCTGTCCAATTGCTCTCTTACCCTCATTACAACATGTTCCATCTCGTTAAAGAATCCTAATTTGGCGTCCAACTTATGCAACTGCAGTTAAACAGAAACCTTCAAAAAGTTAAACTATAATTAATAGCAAATAAACAATAGGTAGGCAATTTGGCATTTGGGATGACCTGCTTCTCCACCAACATTGCCGCAAGTTGTCGGATTTGATCTTCTTCCTGTTCTGCTAGAAGCTTTGCCTTCACTGCAGCCGCTGACACTGCAGAAACTGCAGCCAGCTTTAGTTTATCAATTTTCTCACCCACTTTTGTCTCCATACTGTCATGTTTTTCTAGTCTACCATCTTTAGTTTGATCATCACCTGGAAAGTACAAACAAACAGGAGATCAGTGAATCACGGGCATTGAACTTGAAATTCATGAAACTCATGGACAAACTGTTTCCTTTTTTCAGCTGGTGTTACACAGTATTAATGATCCAACCATAACTGGCAAGCAGCAGAACCATTCCCAGATATCTAAAAAAAATTAAAAATAATTCCCAGTATACGAGAGAGAAGAGGCAGAGGCGTACTTGCTCCCTTTTCAACCACTGAATTTGATGTAACTGGTTGAGGCTCATCCTTCTGTGGGGTCTGAGAATCACACACCATATCCACATCCTTTGGTACCTCTGTAGGGTCAGGCGGTTCTTCTGATTTGGTAGTAACCACTGGTTGAGGCCCATTTATTTCTGTAGCCAGAGAACTAGATACATCTACATCTTTTGTTGCCTCTTTAGATTGAGGAGGTTCCTCGACTGAATTTGATGTAATTGGCCGTTGAATCTCATTTTTTGTAGAGGGAACTGAATCAGACATATCCACATCATTTACTGGCTCTGTAGGTTCAGAAGGCTTTCCTGCTCGTCCTGATTCCTTCTCAGAACTCGTTTGATGCCCTGTCTCCACTTTTGAATCAGTTGTGTCCTCCACATTAGTTGGTGATTCTACCCTTGGTAACTCTAACTTGTCCGAGTTCTTCAAATTTTCAGTTCCTACTTCCTCATCAGAAACTACACCATCTTGTTCTTTTGCAGATTGCGACTTTTCTTCAGAAGAAGATTTTTCAAGTTTCTTGTCACTGCTATCATTTGATGAATCTTTATCTTCCAAACCTGAGGTGGAGTTATCCTCTTTCTGGCTTTTGTCTTCATGAACTTTGTCTTCATTGACTTTGTCTTTCTGCGCTTCCACTTCAGCAGAAACACTGCAAAATCATCACTCACATCGGATAGAACATAGAAAAACTGGTAGAGTATAAATTCTCCGCAACAAATAGCATACCTATCAGCACCAGCATGTTCCTTACTGCCATTCGGTGGATCTTTCAAAATAAAGCAATGCCTTGCAGCCAGCGCAATACCAGGAGAACTGGCAGATATATATTTCAAAGAATTATGTGCTGAAGCTATAGCAGCATCAGGTCCCACCAAACGTGCTAGGAATGCTGCCTGTAAAAGAGTGGAACCCATAAGCAGTGACACGTTAGCAATACCTGAACGCCAAAGTATGAGTTACATATTTGCTTACTGCAAGGTAATGCTTAAGCCCCAGGATATGAGCAAGTTTAGTAAACCGTAAAAGACATGACATGCATGCATGCACTCATACATTTACACATACAGTTATCATCCATATACTTAAACATGCATGACTGAAAATGAATAATACAATAGAAGATCAATTCAAATGCAGAAACAGGAAAAGGTTCATAGGAAACAAATTACAGTCAGTCAGTTATTTCAACGTTTGCCAATACGCAAGAAATTTCTCTGCACCTGATTTGATAGTTTGAAACATAATATAGAATGCAATTGCAAAAATCACTAGGCACACTAAAGATATAATTAGTGTAAGTTGTTGCAATTTTCAAAAGAATGTTCCCTGATTAAGTAATTTTACCAGCAATGCACTGTTAAAGCTAAATTCAATTTGGCTAACCATGTGAAGTGTATGTCACAAGTTGGATCACTTCAGTTTATTTTAAAGCACTTATACACTAATATGTGAGTTAATAAATAACTTAAGTTACTCTTTTAGCTATTTCTTTCTTTGTGGGACGTGTTCAACTTATTTACTTAGAGTCAAGTAATCACCTAGAGATGCTCCATATACCTACACATAAGCAGTCAGCTTACCAATGCCATGGCAGGGTTTCCCACTTCTGTAAATGAAAGTTGACCTTCAGGTGTTGGAGGATAACCAACAACTTCGAACGCTTCTTTAAGAGCCTTTAGTGCAAAATTCTCATCTGTTTCTTGATCAACTTTCAATTCACCGGTATCTTCCAATTTTGAAGTTTCCTGACCGTCTTTGACTTCATTTAAATCTTCTGGCTTTGAAGTATCCTGTCCAACGATTACTTCAGTCACTTCTTTTGAAGTTTTAATCGGGAAAGTTTGGGGGTCACTCGCATTAACAGCAGTCTTATTCTCTGTTGCTTCAGGGGCACCTTTGGGGACCGATAAATCATTTCCAGTTGAAGTTGGACATGCAGTCTCTTTAGCACTACCATCAAAACTATCGTCATAATCAAGAAAAGTGTCCTCAATTGGCATTTGAACAAAGTGCAGTATACATTGAGCTTTTGTTTTTGTTGCGACATGTTCAGCAATCTCATTCCAGTTTTCTTTATAAAGTTCTAATGCTTCAAGGAGAAGGAGAGTCTCCTGATCAGTCCAGTTCCCACTACTTACACCCGGAACTTCAGCAGGCTCCATAAGAATGAAATCTGACGAAGACATGCCAGAGTCGAATTTCCCATTATTAAAGCAATCAGTGCATAGATCAAAATCTGCCTGTTAAAATGAAAGTAATCAGCAAAAACAAGAAAAGTAAACAGGGAGTGGAAGTATGAAGAAGATAATTTATATAATGATGACATCCATTTCATGAAACAGAAACTTCCATCGACATGACATGGAAACTATTCTGGATATACTTCTCGTGGTGGAATGTCTTATAAATAACAGAAAGTTACTTTAAAACAATAGCAAAAAGTAATCACCAGGGAGTATTAACAATCTAATGTCAGCAGGTGATAGCTGCCAACTTCCCGAGAATAAAATTATTGTGGACCTGACAACTCTGATCTGGAGAGATACAGCTTCATATAAACAATAGTTTGATCGCATAATAACCACACTTCAGGCATAACAAATATGAAACAATGGAAGGTTTGGCAAAATGACTTGTTTTTCTAACTAACAATAATCTTCGTGTTTAGGACCAACAGTCGGATAAAATGAAGGTTAGCAAGGTGTGTAACCAAAAGCAAGCACCACTACAAAATTCAATAATAAAATCAATAATCGTTATAAAAGAACCAACCTGCTTCTGGCAATGGTAGCGCTTGCGTGAGCAATCAGCTGAACAAGAGTTGCAATGGTACTCAACAGCTGGCCCTTCAGTCCTAGCCAACTCTTCAGCAATTGCAGACTCGGGAAACAACCCGGATAGCACTGTTGGGGTCGTTATATTAGTCTTGGGAACAACTGATGAGCGTGATTGTAATGCTTCAAAGTGATACAACTTATCAACCAAAGCATCCTTTTCTGCCACTCCATCACCGTCGACACTGGCCACAGCAGAACCTGTTGGTGGGAATGGGTGGAAATTAATCAAACCCCAGTGGTCCAAAAATTCCATTACTTCTTGTCTAGCATCAAATTCTCCAACTTCAAGCTCCAACAAGTCCTTTAATTCAATAAATGTGCCCGGATTTGCGTGGAATTTCTTCAGGATGCAATTACGTATCTTCAAGTATACGTCAGGAGTCCGAGTCACAGACTTCCCATTAAAGAAAGACGGCAACATTTGCTCCTCAATGGAGCGAACCTTTGTCCAAGAAAACCAACCTGGAAGCCGGAACAATAATCCAATCAAGATGCAAGTTTAAAAATACCAAAAAGGTTCCACCCCACATAATTGAAACAATGTTTTAAGAATACAAAACTTCAATACTAATGTTCTCTCAGCTCCATTTAACTAATGCCTGCAGAATAAATTCATCGTAATGACTTTCACCTGATGTATTTTCCCCAAGTACTTTCATTTAAGCAACATTCTTCGTAAAGCTTCTAACAAGTTCAGCAACTGGAAATTTATCTCAGCCTCTCACTTTCACTAAACAAAAACTACATACTACACCAAATCGCAACCAAAACGACATGAAATATTCAATTTTCACTCAATTCTAATCAAATTGTGCATAAGAAGCAAAAATTTTCACAATAGCCAAAGAGTCTCACCGCAATGACTAGGAACAACATGAGCATTGGCACTGCGAGATCTAATGGATTCAAACCCAGCCTCCATAGAAGCCTCCAGAGCCTCCAAATCGCTCTCCCGTTTCACCAGCTCAGCCACCGCCTCCCCCACCGGGTCAGGACGCTTGGCTTGCGCCGCCGGCTTCGCAGCAGCCCCAGCTGATGAAGCCGAAGCCAGGCTGCTAGGGCCCTGACGGGCCCGGGTCAACGGGCCGTTGTGAATCGAAGTGTGAGAAAGCAAAGCTTTCTCGCGAGCGAAACGTTTGGATGGCGTGGATGAAGAGGTTGAGCCGCCAAGGGTGCTTGCCTTTCGCTTTTGGGCTCCGCCACGACGCCGAGTAGAAGACGGCTCGGCGGTTGGGGAGTCGGCATTTGACGGCGGCTGAGTTCCGGCAGCGTCGCGGCGTTTTTCTTCCATGGATTGATTGGGAGGGTTTGGTATGCGAATCTGGGTGTTTTGTTTTCGGACGCAGATGTGAAGTACTGCTGTAGAATGATACTGCACTCTCACTCTTCGTGCTTCCACCTTAGAGAAAAAGCTATTTTACCTTCGGTTCCTCTGCTATTTTACCTGATTTTTTTTTTATTTTTTTTATTTATAAAAGGCGACATTTTCTTTGAAACAGCCAAACAAGGCTTAAGAAGTTAATGCAACAAAGGAGAAATTTTTAATTGTGACGGAAACACAGATAATTTTTATGTAAATGATAAACAGTTTAAATTTTTAAGTTATTAACCTTTTGGCACACATACCCAACTATTTTGTAAGCATTCAAAGCCGAGATGATTTGAAGCGGGCTAAATTTTGTAAGCCCCTTTCGTTCACCAATTCAAGCCCCGCTCGAACTGCTAGCGCTTCAATCTGCACCGGAGAGAAGACCTCATGAAAAACAAACGAAGCAGCGCCCATAAAGTTGCCATTGCAATCTCGGATAACCAAGCCCGCCCCTCCAATAGACAAAGCTTCATCCCATGCACCATCGACATTAACTTTGAATTTGCCCAAAAAACTTCGCGTTCCTAGCAGTTCATATAGCCCAAAAAACCATTAAACAACCATCAAACTCTGATTGACTCAAAATTTGGAAAATGTGGGTAACCCATTTCAGTAGCGAGTCGTGGAAATCAGAGGGCGGACGGAAACCCAGTGATGAAGAGAGCCAAACACCCTTCGCAAAAGAGCAGTCAAAGAAAAGGTGGGAGTTAGATTCCCCGGCCGCACCACAAAGAAAACATGAGGACTCCACCATCAAATGCCGATATTGGAGATTGGCTCCTGAAGGTATTATGTTGGACAGAATCCTCCAGACCGTCATTTTGACTTTAGGCGGAATGCAGGCTTTCCCCAACATACCCCAGAGAGACATAGGGAGATCGAGTCGTGGAGGATGAAGCTGTTTGACTCTTTGGTTTGAACAATATAATTACTGGCTAATTTATCTCCATTCTTCTTGTGTAAATAATAGGTTTGTTCAAAAATAAAAATAAAAATAATTCTGACATGGAAATTATTGCTTTAGGGAAATCCTATTGATATTTACCCCCAATATAAGGTGTAATCATCACTGGTGGTTCGATGATTGCGAACAAATTTTACGTCCGTATTTCATCCGGAACATTCTCGATTCGATTCTTGGTGCTCGTGAATTACATGATGGTGACCAGAGAGAGGCTGAAATGTCTCTGTCCTTCTCCCAAAATGAGAGACTACTGTGGTGAAGTCATCAACTAGTGTGAATACCTTTCATTTGTATGAGTGAAAAAAGTTTCAAATTTGAACAAACATTGGAATTTTAAAATGGATTGTGGGAAACCATTTCATACAAATGAGAATTATTTTGGTTTCTTGCAACTAAGAATGAAAAGGCAGGTGAAACCTTGCCACTCGGCTATGGTGTGAGCCAAAGGCTCTCTGTGATACAACCATACTTTAAAATAACGTATTTTATTTCCGAAAGATGTGAAATAACTAAATGCTTCTAATTGGATGTCTTGAGTAAATATGGACCTTTGAATTAAATTCCATTTTCTCATATTTTTCCTATTTTATCAAAATAGTTTGCGTACTCACGAGTGTGTATGCGAAAGTAGAGTCAAATTTGGAGTTGCGAAAGTTTAATTAAAATTTTTTGGAAAGTAAAAGGGCAAAATGATAATTTTACTTTGAAGGAAAATTCGAGTGGGTCAAGGCCCGTACTCGGTCACCCTTTCCTCTTCTTTCTTCATTTCTAAAACCATTTATCTCTTGTCACTTAATACTACGATCTAGTGATATTTATTTTCACTTGTTAATGAGAGGTCTTAGGTTTGATTCTAGTCAAAAGTAAATTTAAACCACATTATTACGAGCTTATTGTAAAGTAAACCGATCCCCTCATCTTAGGGTAGATAATATCAATTATTAAAAATAAATAAATAAATAAAAAACCATTTCTCTCCCTGTAAACTCTTTAGCTCTCGAATTCTGTCTTATCATTTTCCCTCACCAACACCTAGCACCACCATCACAACGTCACTTTTCCCGGCCTGGTAAGTCATTTTATTGTTTTGGTAAGTCACCATGAATTCTAATGCGATTCTGGTGAAAATTTTGAAATGAATTCAAGGTTTCTAACCTCTGTTATCTGTGGCGGTTTCTAGAAACCGGCAAAGTGCCACTAGTGAAATCTCGGTGAATCCAAGACTAATCCATTCCAAATCCTCCCAAATCGAAGTTTAGGTAAATTTTAGACTGTTTTGTGTAATTCCTGGCTTGATTTGAGGAAGAAATATGTTGAATTGAATGAATTCAAGCCCTAAATACTTTATGGGTAAAATCTGCAGGATCCGGCGAATTCCGGAGTCGGAGCATGGCAATCACCGTTAATTTTAATGGCGACGGCAGCGGATTCCCTTATATCTAAAGGAATCTTCACAAAATCAGGCATATTTTGTTAACACTTCAAACTGAATCCAATAACAGACGTGTGGCCATCGATGACCGGCACTTGGCTACCGGCGACAGCGACTACAACTGTACTCGCAGATGATGGCGGCGATGACGGTGGCGTGTCTACTTGCGTGTGGCGGTGCTTGACACCACCACAGCGGCGCATGCGGTGGCGCGTGGGGACCCAAGATCTACTTTAGGTTTTCCTATGTCTCAAATCGTGCGGCGCTCTTTGTTTAGGCAAATTCAATGCCGTTAATCATGTTTAGGTGATAGAATTTGTGAAACACTAGAAAGTGCTAAATAAAACTAAGTAATATTTTATAGGTGCAAGTGTAAGAGAGCTTCTTGTGGATCAATTTTGCTAGCAGGATATGACCACAACAGTTACGAGGATATAGGAGAAGTTTTCAAGACAAAACCAACTATATTTAGAGGTAAACCAAAACCTAAGGTAAGGGAAGAATTGTTTTGACAGATTAAGAGAAAAAATAGTCAAAAGGTTCTAGAAGATATTCGAGTGATTGTTGCTTGTACTTATTTGGATGGACAAGCATACCATTGGTGGGATCCAATTCTATGTATTCCAGATGCTCAAGTGACAGCTTGGAAAGAATTTGAGAATATCTTTTTAGAAAAATATGTCGCAAGTACTTTGAAGGCTATGAAAGCAAGATAGTTCGTTAACCTTGTACAAGGAGACTAAACTATTTACCCGTATGAGGCTAAATTTGAAGAGCTTATGCGTTTTGCACCCTATATGATTCCGAGGATGCTGCAAAAGTTAAGCAATTATGTTGATGTGAAAGAAAGGGTGTACGCAGCAAAACGATCTGGAGTTAAGAGAACATGGGATTATAAGAACTATAGCAATGGACAAATCAATAAGCTGAAAAGATTTAATCCTCTTCCGTGTCAACCACGGGGAAGGCAAGAACCTCATACATGTTAGCATGCAAACAAACCAACATATTAAGAGGAATTATACACGAGTGCAAAGGAATCAAGAACCTCAAATACAATATCATGCTTCAAAAGTACAATTTTATACTCAACAAACACAATTTCATGCACAACCATCTCAAAATTATGTTCCTTATCAAACTCAAGGAAATTGGCGAATACCATAAGTTGGTCAAACGTCACAACATCCAAGAGGGCAGAAATTGATATATGCGCTAAAAGCAATCAAAGGTCGATAAACTAATTAAGAGTATATAGTGATTAGTCCAAAATTTGGGGCATGATCACTATGTATATGTTACGAATAGTGAGTCCATGGATAGGTTTAATGCACATGTATGAGGTAGCTGATGTTATAGAGACCTTGTTCATATGTGATTATCCTAAACACAGTTTCTGGTCGTTGGATTATAAAAGTGGATATCTATAATCTGGAAAGACCAACACACGCTTTATCTACACAATTGTGGATAAGGAATGCATGGCTCAGTCTCAAGCTATCAGCGATGATCCATTGCGACAAGTGTGTAGGTGATTAATAGAGATTAAGTTCATTGAACACAATTAACCCAGAGTACTTGCGTGGATTTATATACATGTCAAGCGACTCTTAATTCCAAAACGCAAATGATCCTCTAACCCGAGGTATCTTAATTGTCGTATGGATAACGACATGACTTTGTGACATGCATTACACCCTTAACAGGCTATCAAGTGTATGCTCAGAGTCATTGGAATATTTATAATGACATATGATGTACAACAAGGGATCTCTAGCTTTCTTTATAAAGAAATCTTTGGTCAGGGTACTAAGCATGATTGAGTATAACTCTCGATAGCTTTAACAAGTTCATGTAGACGTGTACGATCACATTAAGGGTTTGACATTATTAGCCATGCCCTGATAATATGATTGAGAGTATTGTATAGAGAAGCATTGTATTTCTTAGAATACATTCTATATCAAGTTGGGGACTATGACATACAACTACATGTCACTCGTTGAGACCTCTAGAGGTATTTATCCTTACTAAGAGGGTGTGAACCAAAAGTTTTTTAAGTTCGTTAAACGATTAAAGAAGTCTAAATCGCCCACGATCTCGTCGATTAGACCTAATGGATCGCACACCGATTCTTGTTTGTGGTGAATACAAAAGTCTTTGAATGATTAATTAGATTAATAGGAAGGAGGAAATAAGTAATTAAATAGTTTAATAATTTTAATGGAGGTTTAAAGTCTAATTTGTGCTTCAAAATAGTTTCGAATTGGGCACATTGGGGCCAAGCCCACTTTGACTAGATTAAGTTATAAAGTGAACTAAAGTGGAAAAATGGCCTGAAAGGCCCAATCCAAGCCAATAGACTGGTTGGCTAGAGTTAGTGACTTTTGTTCCTATATTTACAAAATAAAGTGGGAAACAAACTCAAGTGATGGTGTAAGGTGATGTGTAAGTGAGATGATGTAAAGTAGTGCTTCTTTTGAAATATGTTTTCCTTTTTTTTTTTTTTTTTTTTTTTTTTTTTTTTTTTTTTTTTAAATTTTTAAACAAATTCTGTTGAAAGTTTTAGTAAGGAGTCTTCATTCTTCACTGATCGCTCTTTTCTTTAGGCTGTTTGCAGTTCTCATCCTCACATACAAAGAATGACATGCAAACCCTTCCAAGATCTTGAGAGAAAAAAAAAGAGAGAAAGCAAGAAAGAAAGGAGAGAAACACCATACCAACCTTCATGCGTTTTCCTCCCTGACTAGAGCAAGTGAGTACTAGCACATCACACTTGCTCTCATCCACACTCACCACACACAAGGAGGTGTCGAAAAGATATAGGGCATCTACATTGCTGTCTAAAGGAGAAGCTACACAAGGAGGAGCAAGAAGAAAGAAGTTGGAGGAATTGCATGCTTGGCTTGAAAGCTAGAAGCAAAGATATAACTTTTAGTCGTTCGTTTAATCTTAATTCAAATGAATATATCAACCATATAACTGAGATTTTGAAGAGGGGTTTGTTTGTTGGGTGTATTGCTTCCACCATTATATTCCTTTGCATGCATGTTAATCTACTTGTAATTGTTCTTATGCATGCTTGTTAGTTTATCTAAATTTTTTTTTGTCACCCATACAAAGAGCTTTTCCAAATGCAAAGAAATCTGGACAACTCACACAAGGACAAGTTTGTACTTTAAGAAATGAGACAGATCAAAATGAGCAAGAACTAGTGGAAGGTACGTTTCTAGTTTTCAACTCTTCGGCTAGAATAATATTTGATGGTGGAGCAACACACTCTTTTATACCAAGATCTTTTGCATCTACTCTTGGGTTAGAATGTGAAAACATGAAAGTTTATTTGTTAGTTGGATCTCCTTTGAGTGGCAGCAAAGAAGTTAGTGTGTAAATTTTGCGAGATAAACTTTCAAATTATAGAATTCCCTTTGAACATATTAGACATGTTGGGATACGATATTACCTCAGGGATAGATTGGCTTACCAATTATAAAGTTATAATTGATTAGAACATGAAGAAAATAACTATAAATACTCTTGAGGAGGAAACTTTCAGTGTTTATGGGGATAAGAATGCTCATAATACATGAGAGAAATTATGATTACTTGAGCTAGCGAGTATCATAACCGAAGTAATGAGTGGGCCATCGGTGTAATTTATCCCTATAATAAAGGAATTCATTGATGTTTTCCCGAAAGAGTTATCTGGATTACCATCAGAGCCTGAAGTGGAGTTTGTAGAGTTATACCTAGGGATGGGCAACGGTTATGGCAGGCGGGTAACCGCGGTTATTTATCCATAACCGTTTATGTTTATATTCGCATAACTGTTTACTCGTTGGGTAATTGCATAAATGGTTATACCTATACCCATAACCGTTTATAAACGGTTAACCATACTCATAACCGTGTACCCATTTAACCATAACTGTTTATCTATTTAACCATAACCATTTACCTATTTACCTGTTTTGAACCCATTTATCCTCTTTTTTTTTTTTTTACCCATTTACCCATTTTTTCACCCGTCTACATGTTTTTTTTATAACAACTTGAAAATTACAAAAGAAAAATTTGTCATAATTTTTTTAAATTAATCGGATTATGCAGGTGTTTTGTGATTATAGTTTATGCTAAGCAAAAACTTGGTACTTGATTCTCTTGCTGTTGTTGATGAATTTGTTTTTTACCTGAATTCAATGTAACAGGATATGGCTTTTGCAATTTTAATTCAATATAACATGACATTGTTCGAGGAACTCTAGATGCCGTCAAAGGTCATCCAATATCTTAGTGGCTAGAATGTTGGGCTTCTACATATGCCTTCCGGGTTCAAAACTCCGCCATTCCATAAATTATTGTACTATCCTCTATAATAGTTAATGTTTTGTTAAAAACAAAAGAAGAAGTTGTTGAACTAAAAGATCGTCAATAAGGGTTTTCTAGTGTGCTGTGGATTCTTATCCAAGACACGTATCATTTGGTAATGCCCTATGAATCACTAGAAACAAATAATAGCTAAACTGATACCAAAAAGTTTTGTAAGGGACGAAGAAGGGTACCATGGGCCAAAAGATCTTCTAAGGAGATTCTATTTGGAAATATTACATGTCCAAGGTCCAATTTTGAAAAATTTCAGAGGTTTTTCTGACTTTGTTCGTGTCAATAAACAATTAGTTAAAAAGTCAAGGCAATCAAACATTGAGAATTTAGTTGCTAATCCGTCGGTAATCCTTACTAGTCCGATTGGCAATCAAATTATTTTCTTTTTGTTCCAACTTTTCTGCTCGATTCGATCGGATTGTCAATGGATTAATTTTTTTAATTTTTTTTTACATATATTAAATTAAATGGGTATGGGATTGGTGATGACATATAACGATTATGAATAAAATATCATGGTGGTATTCCCGATCAGGTAAGAGTGGGGTGCGGATATTTGTTTTGATGATTTTCAGACTTGAAAGAAATCAATGGTGGACCTAATTAGGGACCCTAAGGTTTTGGAAGGATTCCTTAATAGATATGCTTTTTTATCAAGTAGAGTCTCACAGTCACTTATTTTGTGCATGTAATAGATTTTCACATGGTATGACTCGAACATAAGATAATTTACATAGATACATAGATACATACCTTTTATCCAAAGGGATGGGTGTGTCTAAGGTGCGGACGAAGTGTGCGAACAATCAGTGCGGACAAGGATCTAACAGCTGAAAATAGACGAGCTTACGAATAGAACCGAGTCGTTGCGACTCGGTGCATTTAGAAAATTTAAATATTTTTATTTAGTTGGCATGTTTTTGTATGACGGAGAAAAACAGGGGGCAAGGGTTGGCCATTGTACGCATAGAATAGGGAAAAAGAGAG